GATAGGTAGGAGTACCCTTGTACTCCCTTAAATTTAATCCTCACTTGGCCGATCAAAAAAAAAAAAGACAGACGGAAAATGGCTTCTGTGTGGATCAACCAATCCAATCCAGAAACCATAATGGCCAAAAAAATCCAGAAACCATAGTCCGGATTGGAGTGGGTCTCTGCAAAGTGGGTTCAGGTTTGGATCCAAGTCTAACTATGGATCCAGATTGGATTGGGTCCGAGCAAAGTAGGTTCAGATTTGGATCCACGTTTCCATGGAACCAACATTTTTGGGTTGGGTCAGAATCAATCCAATGCTTCTGGCAATTTAAATTTCATTAGTATAGACAACACAAATAGGGATGGCAATTTTCCTCGGTTTCGCGGGGATCCCCGTCACGAGGACGAAGTGGGGAGAAATATTCCTCCTCGCGGAATGAGGATAGGGAGTATTTTTCCCCCGTAAAATTCCGCAAAGAATTTTTCTCACGCCGTAGGATCCCGTGGGGATTCTCGTCCCCATAAAAATTAAAACAAATATAAATTAATTTTATTTTAAATTTAATTCACTTTTCAAACTCAAACTCAAAGTCAAGTTCAAACCCAATTCAATCAAAATTAAATTTAATCTAATTTTACCCAACCCAACATATTCTCCTACATACATTTAACCCTAACCCTAATTCATTTCTCAATTTTCATTTTCACCTTCCTCGGCTTTTCCTCTTCTTCTATTATGCGACTTTACCATCTGAATGCCCTCCATTCCATTGCCACCCTTCTACGATTCTACCCTTGCCCTTCTCAGTGCTCACCTTCTGTCGCCCCTTATTTTCTCCTTTGCACCGGCTAAATCATCTCCAATCCCATTCCCTCCACTGCATTGCTAGTCTGCTACTGCCGAAGCCATCTGCCTGTTGCTACCAAACTGTCGAAGCCATCTACTTGCTGCTGCCAAACTGCCGAAGCCATCTGCTTGCTACTATTTGGATTGTCAAAACCATATGCGGTTCTGTTGCGGCCTTGCCCTTCTTGGTACTGATTTTCTTTATTTTCAAAATACTAATTGTTTTTTATGTTGGTTTAATTATTTTATTTATATTGGATTAATTTTTGCTTATGTTTTAGTTTAGCTTTGATTAATCTTTGTTTATGTTTGAAACAAATTTGTTAATTGTTGGTTTAGTTATTTATGTTGAATTGATTTTTATTTATATTTGGATAATTTATATTTGATTTTATATTTAAAAATTTTACTTAATTGTATTTAAATTTTTAGAATTTTATTCATTATAATTGAATATTAATTAATTATATGTAAAAGACAAAAAAATTTATAATTTAATATTAATTGGTGGGATATGGAGATCCTTATTCCCTACAGGGAATGGAGATAAGGATAAAATTTACCTCTATCAAAAATCCTCATAGGATCCCCATCTCCGTCATTCGCGGAGATGGAGACGGGGAAAGGGATAGGAAGAGCCTCTCGAGCCTCGCAAGGTCCCATTGATATCCCTAAACACAAAGACGTAGATGATTGCTAATAATTATCCACGATGTAGACATAGAATAAAGAATCCTTTAACTCGTCTTCCATTGATGAATTGAAAAATCAAAGATGTGTAACCAAAAAAAAAAAAAATCAAAGAAAGATTAACTATAACACAATCAATTGAAAGAAAGATTCATTGGATAAACAAAACAATTAATAAAAGTTAATTTTATTAACAAACAAATATAAAAGAGTAATGATTAGGGGGACGAAAGAGCGGAGCGAAATTGGGGACGACAAGCGAGCAAGGTGATATTGGTAATTTTGTATCCTGTAATTTTCACTTATCGTCTCTCACTTTCGTCCCCCACTTTCGTCCTCTTGATCATTACTCAATATAAAAATTTCAAAAACCCTTGAATATGAATTGAGTTAGGATCATTGATCGGATACGGGAATCAATCGGCGTTCTAGAGGGATTGAACCACGACAACATGGGCAGTATAGATTCCATTGTTTAAGCCGGGTTTCAATGCATTCTTTGTGGTACATATGTTGGCACCGCTCAATAGCCGCACAATCTTCCTCGTTTTCAAAGTCGGCTAAGCAAATAGCACAATAGGGATCTGATTTGTTTTGTATCTTCTCACGATCATAAGTAACAACTTTATTTTTTACCTTGAAATGAACCTCATTTTGTGGAGATTCTCTTGTGGGGATTTGCGGTGGCTGAGTGGTCCATGACCGACGCAAACCTCGCTCAATTCTGCTGTTGTTTTCTTTCTCTGTATTTTTTATACTAAAACTTAACGATCCAATAGACAAAATAGGCCAAATGGGCAAACAAAAGAACCAATAATGGTAATAAAATTATGATGAGATGTGGTCTGGTAAAAATTTCATCAGCATCAAATTTGTCTTCCGTACCCATGGGTTTGCCTTTCCAAAAGATTGAGAAACTTTGGATAGAGAGAAGGGTTTTGGATTTCATTTGAGGATATGGTTAATTGATGTTTATGAGCAAC